CTTGGGCAGACACCACAAAATGACAACCATAGCGCAGAGTAGTTAATTCCGACTTGTCGGAAAGTGTCGGTTAGATATTAAGTCCCGAACGGGAGATAGCGGCCTGCGTGCAATGGTAGTACTTTCTAAAACTATGATACCCTTGGAGAAATGAAGCCTTAAATTTTTAACTGCAATTTCACAAAATTGAAAATATTTCAAAAACGGTAAGGTTTAAGTGTGATAAACCTTAACCAAAATTTACCTTTTTTTCAATCGTAGAATCTAAAAATAGAATAATATACAGGGTGTTCCATTTAAAAAATACAACTATAATATTTTTACTTATTTGGGACATCATGTATCTTGTAAAATTATTTTTAAATTGTAGCTGTAATAGTCATTCAACGAACCCAAAACTTACAATTTGTAAAAATCTTATCGTTTAGCTACTCGTGTGTGGTGAACAACCCTGTACCTATATCAAACATTAAAATACATAAAAAATTTGAGGTGTTTGTTTTTCGTGCCGGTAAGAGCAAATTTCTCTATGGGTAATGTGTTTTAGCGTCAGTATCCCAATCGTTAACCCTAATATCCTCTAGCACAGTATTGCCAGCTGTTTGAATCATTGTTAATTGCCCCGTATAAGAAAAACACGAAGATAAATACATTAGATTAAAGAGATTAAACATTTTTATCCGTGTAGAAAAAATGAGAGTTGATGCAGAGAGATGAACCTCGAGTTGCAAGGCCGCAGCAAAGTCACGCGAGTGAGGGGGGAGTTGTTCCCGCCACGCCGAATTGCAAATCACAGTCGTTTGTTCTCTATCTTCTCCCAGGGGAGCGCTGGGAGGCGCACCGGAGTGGGAGTGCACGGGCAATTCGTCACGATTTGGTAATAGCGCAAAGCGATTTTTCCTATTGTCGGGCGAGGTGCGATATTTTTATGTTAAATCGAGTTCGAATTGATGCGTTTTCGATGGAATTGCTTTTTTTCGAATGTTTATTTATGGTCTCTAGATGGATTTACTGGAATAGAGTCGTTCTATGATGATTAGTGGGACGGTACAGGATTAATGTGCAAACAATGATATATTTTATTATAGTCCACTAAAATTGTTCCCAAAAAAGGTTCTTTAGAGTAGCTTTGATTTCTGCCATTTTATAATTTTGGATTTCAAAAAAAATTTTAAAAATTAAAACTATATCATAAAGAAGCACTTTTTTCTGATAGTTTGTTTTTTGGTTCACTTCAATAGCTTTATTTGTATTAAACATATTCGCTTTTGAAGAAGATAATAACGATTTATTTGCACTTTTAGTATTAATATCATGCCTTTTCTTTTGATCCAACATCGTAGAAATCAACTTCTGGATTTAAAACTATTATGTACCAAACAAAGTAAAAAAAATAATATCAATATGACTATTCAATGATTGTAGATTGTATGGGGGAAGTTGGTTTTATCACCGGGCGACCTTATAGATCTATTGTATCCCCCTTTCTTGAGTTATAACTAGGGGTTCAATCCCAGACAATTTTATGTTGTCGGGATCTCGGGATTCTTAACCCCGAATCTCGGGATCTCGGGATTCAATCCTGGGATTTCAGTAATAATGTTACCAATGTTATTTTCAAAGAACATTTTATTAAATTTAACGTTAATTAGTTAAAACAAAAACAAAGTCGTTGGAACACAAAAATAAGTAAATATTCTTCTTAAACAACATTAAACACAAATTTAAAATCTCAAACAAAACAAAAAAGAAACTGGACTGATAATATTATTCCATATTTTTAAAAAAATAGCGCAAAAATATAATATTGTCTATTGTGTCATCTCCCATAGCAGAACGAAATTTTGTAACTATCAAGCCTGCTGACGAAAAACACCTTTCCGATTCTACACTTGTAGGCGGTATTGTACTTACGAGGTAGGTTTATTTTGTTTATTAGACCTTGTTTGATTTTAAACAAGAGTTTCGTATTTTTAGGGTCTTATGGACGGACTGTGTCCAAGGTACGGGTAGTGTTCCCTGTACCGTTATCTTATGGACGGACTGTGTCCAAGGTATGGGCAGGTGTCCCATATCTATGTATTGATTCCAAGGTTCGGGCATTATCCAAGATCCTAGTAGTGTTCCAAGGTACGGGTAGTGTCCCCATATTGCCACAGTATGGATGTAGCGTAAGCTCCATGCTGCTTCGTTCCCATTTCTCAGTCTAGTCAGTAGTTACGGCTGTATCAATTCATGGTGTCCTCATTCTGGCCCCCTTTTGTTGTATTGGATGGCCGAGTACAGAGATGCTAGTCCACCTCACGCTGTTACTGTTTGAATTAAGATTACATAAAGAACAGCTAAGTGTAATTAGTGATTTAAGAGAGAGAGTTCTAGTTTTACATTTAACATTTAAAACATTTTCAGTCTTAAACAATAATGTACATCTCTTAAGTAATATCGTACAGACTATGTTTAGTGGTTAGATTGTTAAGAACATTCATGTCGATTTAATATTTAAAATATGATTTAGATCTTAGGTTTCATTACATTACGTCTTGTAATGGTACTACTTTCATAGATATTTAGTACAACTCTTAACACCATTTTTTTGGCATATAATCACTATATATTTATTAGAACTCTACAATGTCATGTACCAGCAAAGAACATCATGAATAAATATAGTCATTAGTTTTAAGTAACATACAACTGTGTTTTCTTTCTCTGTTCATGCCTGGCGCCCAATATCTGTATTTTTTTATTTATTGTTATTGATTAGTTTTCTCTCTAGTGAAATACCTTACCCACGACTGCTCTTCGATGAAAAGCTGCCGTTCGCACTGGTAATGCTGACGAAAAACACCTTTCCGATTCTACACTTGTAGGCGGTATTGTACTTAAAAAATCAAAAGCTAGTTGTAAGTTTGTTCCACGTTGTCCACTCTTCTGGAACGTATCCATTTCATTTTTTATTTGGGCTTCCAAGTTTTCAGTTTTTGTTACTGGTGGCACTGTCATTCGATTTGAAATTTTTTTGGTTAACGCTTCATCTAGCCTCTCCGAAAATGACACGTCATCATTTAAGGCCTGGTACCTGTTCTGAATAGTAGCAATTGGAAAATCTTCATCCGATTCCGAACTATCTGAAGAATCTAATATGATTTTACTTGTTATATCTAGTCGTTTTAAGAGGTTTGCTACTTCTTGTTTCAAAAGTTTTTTATTATTCCGGGAATCAACGACGTATCGTTTGTCGGCGGCGCGGCGGCGGCGCTATAAGAAATTCAACTAAAAGGGAGTTTTTGTATATACAACCTTAAAAATAGCGTTTTACTACATTATATAAAATCCCGGGATCTGTTAATATTTTCCCGGGATCCCGGGATTGAAAAAATCCGATAAAAAACGTCGGGATCCCGGAATCCCGGGATTGAATCCCCTAGTTATAACTCATCATACCATCTCAGAGCTTTGCCAAAAGCCAGTACCTGCGACGGTTTTACAGAGGCTGGTTCTCCATCTCCGGTATCAGTTCTTCTCTAGGCATTCTTTAACCAACTTCGAACTGGTAACCTATTCAATAACTAGTTACTATTTCATGATAGTGATATTCGAAAAATAACAAATACTATATCACAGGAGTGTATTGATTAGGAACAAATTCAAAGGCATGTTTATAATTTTTGAGCATGTTTTAAATTTTAGGCTTGTTTGTTAAAAATACTATACCGGATGCGACTCAAATGTGGCTCACCCCTATAATTTTTTTTAGTTTTTTAGATAATAAAACGGCATTTGGTATGTTAGTATATGACATAAATTAGGATTGATTGAGGTATTCAATTGTTTTTGGTGACTTCCTGTTTCACGAACATGAATCACTCTGAATAGAATGACATATATGTCAACTTTTGACAATTTCTCTTAAGAGAAAATCGTATTTCAATCTAGAATCATGGCTGTGTTAAAAACACTAATTTTTAATCAAGGAGCCTTGGAAAAATACATTTGTCCTAGCCGGTTAAAAAATGCCCAAATCGTATTTTTAATCATATCTCAATTTTTTTTCAAATGGAACAAGGGTGGCTCATTAGCATATTTGAAAAAGCATTTTTTTACGAATAATTTGGTACCACACACTTGGTATTTTGAGTCAAATTGTCGTTATGAACCGCATGTTACAATTTCAAATAAAACATATGCCAAAATGTAAAAAAATTGACATATGATATGTTATTTCATCCATTTTCTATCGAATAAAGTAAGAAAATACCGAAGGTGTCATTTAAAAAGCAAAATGTATACTTATTTCCGGTGAAACAGGAAGTGACCAAAGACAATTTAATACGTCAATACGAATCATCCTTTATGTCATATACTAACACACCAAATCTCTTTTTTTTCTGAAAAAAATAAAAAAGTTATAGGGGTTAGCCACTCTTCAGACGCACCCGGTATATCCCTAATGTCTTTTTCAAAAGTGAATATCTCCAAAAGAAATAAAGCTCTTGAGATGAACCAAAAAACAAACTATTGAGAAAAAATTCACCCTTATGATAAAACGGTTTTAATTCTTCCTTACTTTATTGAACCATTTTCAGGGTGTTTTTTTTTCAAACTTTCGCAAAAATATCAACATTTTGATACTCCTCGTATAAGAGACAAATGGGGAGTTTACATTTTAATGTATAAAAAATCTAAAAAGCTAAATAATTTAGATTCAAATTGCTTAAAAAAAGCATGAAAATGTTTCTTCAATTCAGACTTGTACCTACTTTTCAACACAGTTTTAGTAGCTATTGAGATTTAAAATAAATCAACATATATTATTAGTCGGTATTCACTAAAAACTAATTTTCAAATCAATTTCTTTTTCTCTTTCTTTTTTCATGTTTTTTTTAATTAAATATGAAACTAATTATATAAACTACACAAAATTCTAATACTACAAAATAAGCAACATAACTAAGTCATACTGATACCTAGTTTTATAATTGGTAATAATTTGACCTTACCGAGGAGGCATTTTTGTTTGTCCAGCCATTGATTCGTCGTCCGAATAGTCAACTTCCGGCTGAGGTGGTGGATCGTTGGAGAATCCAGAATCGTTGCTAGAGTGCAGAGACACATTTCCAACAGGACCGCCTTAAATAAGAAACAATTTTAATTACGTTTTATTAATGTATGAACTGCTTGGAAAAGTCTTATATAAAAAATGTTCAAGTAAGTCAGATATGTTAATGAAACTTTCTTTTTTCATTTTATGGTTTCTGGTATTGTAACTTTTCTCTGTTGTAACTACATCTGCCTTAAGTGCTTCTTAATTTTATATCTTTTTGATTCGATAGAATTTATGCTTAAGATTCAACTCTTTAAATTAGGGTAATACCCTACTAGTACACACTTAAAACACAAAATTCTATACTTCTATTACACTTTAACAAATTTTGATACAAATTTTCACGCCTAGATTTTCTATGTAAAAAGTGCCTCTACAAAAAGTCCATTAAAAATGTGTTGCAAATATCTTGAAGCAAGACTACGACCCTACTTATTAGACTGCAATACCAAGACCAAGGCAGTCTTAGCCTAGTCTTGCATTTGCTCATAATTAAAAATATACTCACAGAATTTACTTTTAAGAATTTTTTATTCAAAATTGAGCTTTGGCATTATCGTAAACACAACTTTTTATTTAGTACTACATTTTATCAATTGCGTTATTTCTAATAAAAATAAAGTAAGCAAGGGAAGGAAATAGAAATAAAAAATGTGATTTCCTGCTTAGTTTAAATTTATCTATGATAGTACGCTGTCCATCTAATTTAATGTTTGTCTTTAATGCCATTTTTAATTAATATGCTATCTTCAGGACATTATTTGGACAACAACCGCCTAGAAAACCGTAACTGGACCTCGACTTTATCACCCGGAAAAATCCGGAAAGATAAAAGTCAACGCGTAAAAGGCCCTCTATCGGAATTCCCTGTTAATTATTCTTGTCCCCTTCTGTCGTCCTCGTCCTCAATAAGGGAGAGGAGTTAAGACGCAGGGATGACGTATATTGGATCCCAAACGACAGAAAATGGACCACTACGTGAGGTATTTTTAGAAAAATGCTGTTTCATTAAATGCTTTTAGTTCGATTAAAGGGAGACGTGCACTGAATCGACTCGACTCGACTCGACTAAGAGCTCTCGGCAGATTTCAGTACAGAGAAACAAATGTCATCATCAAACCGATTAACGATACTCCAAGTAGGTACTACTTAAAAGAATCATCGGGCCAGACATCGAGTCATCATCGGTTCGATGGTTCTTCTATTTTTGCTCTACCGGCGCACTCTCACGACTCGTCTACTTGGCAAGTACGCCAGCACAAACATTGTTTAAATCCTTGGCAAGTAAACAGTATAGTAGCATCGATGGATACCGGTCGTACGCCAATATTTGCGTACTTGACAAGTATCCGCACCTGTCCCCACTTCGTAAACAACATTGGCAAGTGTGGCGCTCACACGACATGTTCATTTCAACAAGTACGCCAGCACAAACATTGTTTAAATCCTTGGCAAGTAAACAGTATAGTCGCATCGATGGATACCGGTCGTCCCGAAATTGTCGTTCCTAGTGATTCTTTTTTCTTTTTAACAACTAACGTTTTTACAGCCAAGCAACCTTACAACCAACAACCAAACTTAAATCCATAAATTTCAAAATAGCGTCATTTGAAGACTACACGGGAAAAACCAGCTTTGTCCATTTTAATTGGAGTCGAGAAAAATGCAATTTAGTGCTTTTAAAGAAATATGTTATTTTTGGGTTGAATAGTTAGAAAAATATATATTACTACCAATTCTGAATTATTAATATTGTTAGTTATCGCCATATTCTGAAATACCGAAATAAAAATGTCAAAATGCAAAACAAAACAGGGGAAAAATCAGAGATATCCAATTAAAGGTTGTATAAAACCTAAATCTAAACTATTTTTTTTGTTGTAGGAAGAAAATTAATATTTAAGTAGGTTTTTATTAGAATACATAAATCGACTACATGTAATACTAATTGCAAGATGCATGCTTGTCCTCCATGCATAAAGACGACATCGCTGGTTTTTCCCATTTACACGTGGACTACTCTGGTTTTTCCCTTGTACGGCAAAATAACCAAGCTGTAATATCTCTGGAACTAAGCGTATTATTGCTTTCTTTTTTCTCGAATGACGTTAAGATTTGTCTATAAAGTTGTATCGTTATCTTAATTTCTGTGAAAATGTGACGTGTCTATTTTTTCCCGTGTAGTCTTCATTTGTCCACTCCATTTTTTGCTGTGGGAACGATTTGGGTATGTCGCCAATATTGAAGTTATTAATGTAAATTTGTTATTATATAATCTATTATTGTTTTAATGTTTTAAATTAGCCGCAATTAACTGGAAAAACACTACGATCCGGAAATAAACCGGACATACGCTATAACAGTACAATTATTTGCGCAGTCGTTTTTTTGCGCCTTGGCAAGTGTACGATTAATTATGATCGTTTGACTCGGGCTATGTTTACCGACAGAGAGTGGGGACGCGACGAGTCACCAAGCAATCCGTTCTCACGACATGGCGAGTATATTCCAATAACAAATGTTTGTCAAGTACACGAGTCGTGAGAATGCGTCTTTAGTCGAGTCTAGTCGAGCCTAGTCGATTCACTGTACCTTAAGGATGGTTTGGAATAGATGAGAAATAATACCTCATCAAGTAAATAAGAAAGACGACGAAGTAGATATAAAAATTAAAAACTTCTAAGTTTAAATTCTTCCTAAAATAATATTGATAAAAACTGATTTTATATACTCACCAATTTTACCTCCTTTAGCTTGTAAATGCAAAGGTAATCCAGATCCTGCTGTTGGCCGTTCTCTTGCTGGTGCAGGGTGGGTCGAGTACGATCCTGAATTCGGGCCACTTGACGAAAAATTAAACGTAGAAGCAGAAGATTTAATACCTGAAAAACAATTATTAAATCAACAAATAAAGTATAAAAGCAAACAATAAACAGATCATTTTCAATTCCTTCAACAAATCACGGTATAAAGACACATATTTGTATCTCTAATTATTTGTTTTACTCCCCCTTTCACTCCCCAAGACACATGCAATGAATTTAAACCCCGAACATTAAACCCAGATCTAATCTCTAACACCCTCTATTTTCCGACTGACCTGGCGCGGCGTACTGTCCAGAGCCGGACTCGCCGCCCTTGCCCACCGCAAAATTGGCGCTGTGGGACTGCGGCAGGGCTGTGGACTTCTGGTAGGGCGGCAGCGAGGGGGTGGGCACGGGAGCGGGGGCGGCTGGCGGCGGGATGTTGTTAGAACCGATCGCTCGCCGAATCTGGTAAAAAGTAAACAAACGAATAAGTGTATTTTTTTCTCTGGGGGGTATTTACTAAAAAGGAGGAAGGTATAAAGGGTGTAATACAACTACAGTTCATACCAAATAAACTTTTAGTCACGTGATTAAGCTTGACCGGCACAGCATTGCTCACTTTTACATATTTTCCTTTAATCAAAATATTTTAGGAAACAAAAATATATTAATTATAAATATACAGGGTGTTTCAAAAAACATGTATCATCATCATATCATGATTTATCACGTAAAAATAAGGTTTATGTTTCATATCAACATAGATCCGATTCTGCTTTGTTTCGTAGCTACAGGGTGTTAAAGTCTTAATATTTTTTCGATTTATTGTAATTTTCTTTCAAGTACTTTTAGCATTTTGAACGAAATTTTTAGGGTAAATGTTAAATCTCTTGATATTTTGTCAAATTCAGCCTTCTTGATGAGATAAAAGCTATTTTATTAATTACATTTAATAAAATTAAAATTAAAATAACATTAATAAATCATATAGTTTACTTAATTTATTATTAAATATTATTACTATTAGTTATTATTACTATTAGTCTAACCTACAGCAATTTCAAATAAAAAATAATGGTATTTAAAATAATTACAAAAAACCAAATTTTAAAAGTTTTAACATCCTGTAATTTTAAAACTATGCATTTTCATAACCATGTTTATAGGAACTTTTTTTTTCATATCTTTTAATGAATAATCAATGAAAACTTATTTAAAACCTTCACAAGTTAAAGATATTAATTTTTTTTTAAGGTTACTATTAGACTTGGATTAAGGCAAATTAATACAATTGCGTTTATATCATCAAGGAGGCCGAAATCGACAAAATATCAAGAGACAACTTTTAATCGGCATTAATTTTCGGCTATTTCGTTAACAAGAGAAAAAAGTCAGTAGCGCACATGCTTTTTTTAGAAACATTTCCAATGGACCCATATGCACGTCACTGGTGAATATGTCGACACTTTTTTAGCATTAAAATATGTCACATTTATAGTAACTTTTACCCTAAAAATTACATTCGGAACGCTAAAAGTACTTGGAAGAAAAATGCAATAAATCGAAAAAAAATTAACACTTTAACACCATGTTGCTACGAAACAAAGCAGAATCGGACCTATGTTGGTAAATAATAATAATAATAATAAACTTTATTTCTAAATTACAATATAAAATTGTGATAGAATAGTCAAAACAAATACAATAATAAACCTTTTACGTACGCATCTATGTGAAAACGAAAAAATACTGATACAAACGATAAGTATCTTTCTTTTTTCTTCGTATGATTTTAATAATTTATTATACATTTTCCATAAAAAATTCATTTATGTTGTAATATACTTTTTGTAATAAAAAATTTTTCAACTTATTTCTAAAAACATTTATATTCTTACTTAATTTAAATTCAGTTGGTAAACAATTAAACATTCTTAATCCTAAACACTGTGGTGAATTTAACATTACATTAGTAGGACATGGTATTTGATAAAATTTATGATTAGTTCTTGTATCGAAATTATGGACTTCAGAAATTAGTTTATATTTATGCTGGTGTTTATAAACAAATATACACAGCTCTTGAATAAAGATACTCGTCAAAGTTAGTAACTTATATTCTCTAAATAAATCTCGACAAGTTTGCCTTGGAGAAACACGAGCAATACACCTAAGTATTTTTTTGGACAGTGAAAACCTCCCGAATCCTAGTGGATGTTCCCCACAGTATTAGCGTAATCTTGATTCGACGTATGCGTAATATATATAATATATATTTGTTAATTGTTGTTTAGATATAATATCTCTGAGATTTCTAAAAAGATATAATGTAGAATTTAATTTTGGTAATAAGCTTTCACAATGAAGATTCCATGTAAGACATTCGTCTAGAATTAAACCAAGAAATTTTTCACTACTACAATCCTGCTCTAAGACAGCGTTATTAAGTGATATTAAAAAAAATTTCACAGTTTTTTTGACGATTATGAAATCTCAGGTATGTAGTTTAAAAAATAATGAGTTGTCACTAAACCACGAATGCAAATTTTGCAAAAAATTCATACATTTTTTTTCCAAAACACTATCCTCAGAATCGGATAGTATAACTGATGTATCATCCGCATAAACAGTTATATGTACCAATGATGAAAATAAATCCATTTCGGCAACATAAATTAAAAACATTACAGGCCCTAAGACTGAACCTTGTGGGACTTCCATATTTATATATTCAGTATTAGAGTTGTACTGAAATTACCATTTCCAAAGTGCGATAACTGGACATATTGACGTCTATTTATCAGAAAAGTCGTGAGCCAATTTAACGCACAGCCACGCACTCCAGAGTTCACAAGCATATATATCATTTTTTATGATCGATACAGTCAAATGCCCTACTTAGATCGCAAAATATTCCAATAGGACATTCGCCTGCTTCCACAAATTTCACAATTTTCTCGTAAAAACATGTTAATGCTGTTATGGTAGATTTATTTCTAACAAATCCATGCTGACTTTCAGGAATTACGTTAATGTTGGTGAACAATGGCTGTAGCCTATCTAAAAAACTGTATTTAAAAATCTTGGATATACTAGAGGAAATAGTCACAGGTCTATAGTTATCAACAGATAATGGGTCACCATTTTTAAAAACTGGTAATACTTTACCAGTCTTTAGTACTTCAGGAAATATTCCAGAGTTGAAAGACATATTTATGAGAAAAGTTAATGGTATTGAGATTACTGCTGATACCTTACGTATAATAAAAGTTGGTATTTCATCAGGGCCTGCCGATTTTTTATTTTTTAATTTTGTTTTTATTAAGTTAAATAATTCGGCTTCAGAAAAAGAGAATAAATATAAGCTATTACTAAATATTTTATTATTGGAATGATTATATGATTGTACTTTTGATATTTTATTTCTTATTCGATACGGAGCTTCTTCAAAGTTTGTATTGAAATAATTTACTATGAGTTCAGGGTCTTGTATGATATTATTATCGATAGATAATTCTATGTTGGACTTTTGTTTTTCAATTTTGTTACTGAGTTCTTTAACTATACTCCATGAACTTCTTCCGGGATTATCAGATTCTGATTTTTTTTTTCATAATATATTTTTCTTTGTCCAGTTTACTAAATTTCTATGTTTTGTTTTATATTCTTTATATGTTTTTATAAATTGTTATATCTTTTAGATAAAAAATAAAAGTTTTTCAACTTTTCACTGAAAAATCAATCTTATTTTTACGTGAGGAATCTCCCCACGAGAGATTGCACATGTTTTTTGAAACTCCCTGTATAAACAGTTATTATTTACATCAACAAAACTCACCTTCTAAAAGCACTTAAGAAACATAAGAGTCATTACTACTGCTTTTCCGTTCAAAATATTCTAGTAAAGTTGCGATGAGTTTTTTTACAGTTATTAAGCTCTTCTACACTTCACACTAAAAGAGATTCTAAAAAAACAATGTTCGACTGCAAGGTCTGCTAGTAAACATTTTTAAGCTAAAAGTATCACAACACTATTTATTTAAACCAAAAACTCGTAATACAAAACTAAGGTGTCAAAACGAATGACAATGTTAGGAAATAAATAAATCAATGCGGCTACTTGATATTTTTTACAGGAGAGCTAGGTACCACCTGAATCTCCAACGCGAAATTTAAATTCCAGTTAGTCAGCACGGCGCCGAATATGTCCATGGTTGGCAACAATGAATTTAAAAATCTCGCCCTCGATTACGTTACTAAAAGTTTAATTGCCATCAAATATAGTATACAAAACTTCAGTGCTACTGCAGTACTACAGTTAAAAATTGAAGGGTGGCTGCTAATTGGCGTGAAACTTCTACACTCTGTATCTCCGAAACTAAGCATTTTAGGACATACATTTATACGAACTTTTTTACTTATTTTTATCTGCAGAATATGCTGCTGAATATGCTCCGGAATACAGCTCAGACCACCCTGTATATTATAGATAATATTATAAAATCATAAAATTACGAAACTGGCTCTTATCGAGTTTTTCCTCTGGGCTCTTCAGTTAATAAAAAAATATTCCTATGAACATAGCCAAAGGCTCAACAGAAACTCTTGTGCTCTATCATAAATTTTTCTAAAAAAAATATGATTAATTTAAAAAGAGAAATGTATGGATTATTTAGATTTCCGTTTGAGGCCACCGGGTTTGCACAGTTTGGTGTAGACCTGTAATTAGGATTGTAGTTACAAATTACAAAGCCTCTCGAATTTGCAACTATGTAATCTATGGTCTAGCGCTATCTACCTGTCTAGTTGCGTTATTAGATCGATGCAAGTGTAAAGTGTCGCCGAACATTCTAGCGGGCTGTTCTAGCGTGTTACCACCGGATGACCCTTGACCACCTGATCCTGTTGAAGTCGACATGTGATTGGTGGGAGTAACGGCGCCGTTGCCACGTTGCTGGCTGGATGTGCCGATGTCGCTACGATGACTTGGTGACCTGAAACGGAAACAAATATATTATTAAAATCTTCTTAAATTGTAGGTACATTGTTTAAGGCGAATTTTTAAAATGTTAGCCTTATTTTTATTTATTTTTTTATTATGATATTTTTCGAATAGATATTTTATGGAAAATCCACACAGAGTGAAGAAAATATTAGGCATTCTATTTAAAAAAAACTATACATCCTCAGTTTAAAAATAAAAAATACTCTTTAGCTTCTAATATCTAGCTTGTATAACTGAGAAAAAAAAATCTGTGCTATTATTGCTCACATATACAGGCTGGTCCGAACTGTATTCCGGAAATTTCGACAGCATATTCTGCAGATAAAAATAAGTAAAACAGTTCGTATAAATGTTTGTCCTAAAATCTTAGTTTCGGAGATACAGGGTATAGAAGTTTCGTTTTTATTTTTTTCAAAATAATTTCTGAAGTAACGTCAATATTTAGATGAATATTGCTGTCTGGGAGTTTTTTGACACAATAAATTTGATTTTGATGTCAATATGACTCCTACTTGTAGAGGGCGCCACCTACGCATTTTTAACTGGTTTGAAGAGTAATAACTTTTCGTCCGTACCTGTATAAAACCACTGAATATTTGGAACCGAAATTATCAATACCTACCTGTCATCAATGGCATGCATTAAACATGTTGATTAAATCGTTATTAGACTGAAATGATAAATTTGAAATATTTTTGTTCCAAAAGTTCAACAGACTCTGTTTTATCATTATTTTTTCTAAGAAAAATTTATGATTTTATTTAAAAAAATAAAAAGTTCCCAAAGTTATAATTTCATTCAAATAACTATCTATTCAACACGTTTATTTTTCAATAATGACATGAATTGACTATTTCCACTCTAAATATCTTGAGAACGGCTATTCGTAGTGATTTTTACCAAAGAAATATTTTTTACGTAAAAAATCACGGGATTGTATTATTTTTCAATCAGTAGTTTTTTATACAAGTACGGACAAAAAGTTATTACATTTCAAAACAGTTAAAACACGTGTAGGTAGCGCCCTCTACAAATAGGAGTCATATTGATATCAAAATCAAATTTCTCATGTCAAAAAACTCCCAGACACCAATTTTCATCCAAATATTGACGTTACTTCAGAAATTTATTTGGAAAAAATCGAAATAAAAATAAATCTTCTACGCCCTCTATCTCCGAAACTAAGCATTTTAGGACATAATTTAAAAGAACTTTTTTACTTATTTTTATCTGCAGAATATGCTGTTGAAGTTTCCGGAATACAGTTCGGACCACAATGTATATGAAATTATTGGAGGAAAAAGTTTCAAAAAGGAAACATTTTCCTACTATATACCTACTTGATGAGAATTGGAGATGGCTTATTAAGATCGTTATGGTGTTTGGTTTATGAAATTTTTTGAATGAAAATTAGAAAAATATATAGATAAGATATTTTACCCAATAGTATCATCAATGAGAACTTCCGTGTACGCCAACGGAAACCACCCGCTACACTGCGTCCTCAAATTCTCTCCAAACTGCCAACCCTTATTCCTATCTCCAATCAGCGCAATCAAATCTCCTTCATGAAAACTCAGCTGATTCTCCCCACTGGACAAATAAGCGTACAGCGCCCTAGCCAACTGTGTGTCCCAAGATGGCGGTGGTGGCACTGCCAAGGACTTAGGCCTGCGCGTTGGAGTGTGGCCGTTGTCTTGAGCGTTGGACGAGTTGAGGTTGTACTCTGACTTGGCTCTGGACAGAGTGTTGACGGGGGAACCGCCTTCTGTCATCGAGCGGACGTCCAGGCAGGATGCGTCCATGCTTTTTGTTTTGCGAAGTTGGGAGTTGATGCTGATTCGGTCCTCTTCGAAGTTGGGACTGCGGGGGTTGGAGTAGAGGTCGTCGTCGTGCCAAACGGAGATTTGCTGTTGGTAGAAGCAGAATAAGGTTATTAGCTCTAGTTTTTAAAGCCTTAAGCTTAATTTTCATGAATCCGTTGTCCGACGATCCGATGGTACGATATTAATTTTGTTGGTTGAATTTAAAGACTTCGAATGGTTAGAAAACTACGCAGTTTTTAAATTTATTGCATTTTTACGCCTCGGTTCATCGGATATACGATTTCCTTGTGATTGGTGTCACTTTATATTTTCATTTCCATAAGATTTCGCTGTTTTACTTATAGTCTGAGAGCTAGCAACGTTTTCGAGAGCGAATTTTAAGAAAGCTGGCTCTTTAATATACCTTTTGTTATGCTCTCCTGAACAGAGTGCGGACCGTCTGGCTGCTGGTAGACGTTACGTTCACTACTGCGCATCATATCTATTTTCAACATCTGTTCACTATTGCGCATCACAAATTTGTCCTGTATTTCAGAAACTAAGGAGGCTAGGACCAACATATATATTTATCATATTTATTTCATTAAAAAGTAGCAAAGCAATGTGAAAATCGCATCATTGTATCTCTACTCATAAACGAGAAATCCCATAAACCACACGAAAATGGGATATCGTCCAGATGTGATGCGCAGTAGTGAACCGCAGTAGTCTACCGGCAGCCAGACGGCCTGCACTTTGGTCAGGAGAGCATAGCAAAAGATATATTGAAGAACCAGCTTTCTTAAAATTCTCGTTTTCCCGACGTTGCTAGCTCTTGTACTATTATATTTTTATTAAGGTTAGATAAAATTTGTCAAAAAAGTGTAAAACGTCCGTTATCGTACGATCTTTCTCCATTGACGGGCTGGAGTAAAAAAATAGCGAATGAGAAGTGGCACGAAAATGCTATGACCGATCAGAGCGCCGCCGCCCGCCGTCGCATCGGACCATCGTATCAAAATCAAGCTTTAATCGACAGGATTGATGTTGGGAAACAAAAGGAAAGGCTGCTGAGACTGTAGCTTAGTGCACATTTTTTGTAAACTAAAACCAATAATAATAATAAATTTTTGATAGTAACGTCTCTACATGTCATCAGACTTCAGATAATATAATCAAAATTAAGTTACTTGTTTCGTAGAAGGGTGTCCGTTATTTACAAAGTTGATTGTTTCGCTCACCACGCCCTCTAAATTTTTAATTTATTGTCTAATAAACAATAACAGACCATTGTAAACCCTTAATATTCACAATAAACTTTTTGGAATTTGCCACTTTTGCAAATCTTTTTTTTCTCTCAATTTTGTTCTCTTGGAGCCATGCCAATTACATGCTCGTATACAGAATTGAGCGCTCTACAAAAAAAGTCTCTTACAATTTTTCGATAAACCTACTCCTTCAAAAGTTATTAACGGTTAAAGTTAACCACTCGGTAAATTCCTAAATTATTCAACTTTTTTGACAAAATTATGATTATTTTTGAAAAAATTAATCTATTGCTGTAAAAATATACAATTATGATGGTGTTAAGGCTGGGTATTAAAAAAAGTCTCATGAAGTTTAAACCATTTAAGCTGATTTAAGTATAGCTGATTTATTTTAATAAGCATTGTTTATTAAAATAAATCGGCTATACATAAATGGTAGAGTAGCAATAACTTTTGATGGGGTAGGTTTATCGAAAAATCGTGAGATACATTTTTTGTAGAGCGTATAATTCTGTACAGGAGTATGTTATTGTCATGGTTCTGAAAGAAAAATATCGAGAGAAAAAATATTATTTGCAAAAAGTGGCAAATTCCCATTAATTTAAATGGGAAATGAATCGTCTTTGGGGCAATTTGGGAGTTTGTTGTGAATTAATTAAGGGTTTACAATTGTCTGTTATTTTTTTTTAGACAATAAACTAAAATTTTGCAGGACGTCGTGAGGGAAATGATCAACTTTGTAAATAACGCACCCTAATGTATAGGAAGCTCTATAAATGTGACATTCGCTCAAATTCAAAATACTCTAACCTCGCAAAATTCGTTAAAATTATATTTTAAACACACAAAACATCCCCCTTTAGAACTTTTTCTTTAATGGCCATAAGTGGGAGTAAAAGACCAACACCCGAACAAACACTAGAGGCGCCACCGGTCATCAAACGGTGTAAAAATTACGAAAATTTAATCATCTAATTTTGACACAAGGGGTCGCGCTTAACTTTTTTTAATTTTATCTCAATATTCATTGTTTTCAAACTATATTATTAGACTTTGTAAGATTCAAATATTATGACATATATGTCAGTCGTCGTCTAAAATGTCATCTTGATAATAAAAAGTTAGTTATTGTCAAAAGTAGTTAAAATCATGTTAAAATATTAAAATTTACAAGTTATAATTAGATATTTTATATTATTTCAACAACAAACACATAATAGTACAGCGTAATGTTGATATGCAGGACCGAAACAAAAAGTGCCGTTATATTTTTCAGTTTTCGTTGTCAGCCGCGGAAGTTTCAGTGATTTTAGTGTTGTCGGATATTTTTATTTGTGAAATAGAAATATTGCGTTTGCAAAACTAAAAGTGGAAGTTTTATTACAATGTAAGTAAGCGTTTATCCATTTTATATTTTACTTTTTTCATACCTACGACAAATATACATATATTGAAATTTTATAGTTCGTTTTATTTAAAAAATATTAGAAAACAAGCTTGTAATCCTGTAATTGACATAATTGTTATGTAATATATTCCATTTAAATGTAATATATTACTTTACAATTAAAAAAAATGTAAATTTAAAAAATATATTAAAAATATATACAGGCATTAAATGAAATTTTTTGAGTGCGAACAAACACGAGAGGCGCTTTATTATTTACTTTCATTTCTTAACATGACAGACGAAGTTCTAAAGGGGGATGTTTTGTGTTTAAACGTTGATTAATATAAACGCCGATTTCAAATAATGAAAATGAATAAACTCACTCGTATTCTATTGCTGAAAATATTTTCTACTGATTCTGGCAAGTATTCTCTGGTTTTGGCCACGTCGGACCATTTTTCGATGTTCGATGAGTATGTGTCGGCTCCATGATTGTGGTACGAAAGATAGTGTTTGGCTAGCGAACACTGTCTTTCTAGTACAAATCCGTATCTTCGTCGTTCCTGAGTCATTGCCTAGGACAATGAAAAAATATTCAAAATTATTTTAATTCAATTCATTAATTGGATTGAACTAAACAAATAAAATACCTGTAGATACAGGAGAATGTAGCATGTACCGTACTAGTTTCTAAATCCTACCTCTTCAATATCGGGTTTATAATTGCATTGACGAGACCGCTTCTGGTATATACAGGGTGATTCTTAAATAAGTGCAAATATTTTTAGAGGTAATACATTTTGACCACAGAAACACGTCTCCGAGATTTTTCTTGCAATTTTTTTTAGAGTTCGACTGAATCTAGTCTAACCAGTCTACCCTAATGTAGAGTACCCTTTCAGGGCTGTTAATTTTTCACAATCGCCGTTCGCTTTGGCATTAAAATTTGTGTAAGAGTAACAAATTTCAGGAAAAACGGTTAACCAATAACCTTAAAAGTAAACAAAATATATTATTTTACTTAACATTTTCTCTCAGTGCTGTAACTTCTTCGGGAAGCATTTTAAGGCATATGTTCAAAGGAACTTTTTGCTTTATTTTTTTCTATAGAATCACCTACCAGAGTAAGATACTCTATTTTGTTGACACCCTATACAGGGTGGCGCCTCTAATACGCCGAGGAAGCTCCAAGGCGAACGGTAGTTTATATCAAAATTAAATTTTGGCAGCATATGTAGGTTAACTGAAAACATTTTATAAAAGTATATAGAATTATAAAGAGGTCCCCCAAAAAAGTTACACATCAAAGATGTGTTTTTTCTAATAGAACACCCTATATATTAATTGATTTTCGGATTCTAGGAAAAAAATAAAGGTGAGTTTTATTAAAGAAGCATATACCCAAAATCTAAGAATTTTGACATATTTCACATTTTGTGAAAATTAAGTGTAAATTATAAATTTCGATAACAGCTACTTAAATTTTAGTTGACCTTGAATCGGCTGATATTTAATTACAGTAACCATTGTATGTTAAACCAAATTGAAATTTGGCCCGAAAAGTTATACAGGGTGAAGCAAAATTAATATGGAACATTAGTCTCTTAAAAGCAAGTTACTACATTATTTTAAATAGAACACCCAGTATATTATTCCGGTGTTTAATGGAGAATTTATATATCTTCAAAATATTATTAAGGTTGCCTATCCCCCAGACAAATATTTTCCTAGATATTTTAATTTTTATGATTTTGCGTCAGTAAATTTTTATTATTTGAAAAAATCTAGGTGGCTGTGATATACCTTTTGTTAATTTAACAAAAATTAAAGATTGTAGAGTAAATACTCAACAGTAATTAAAAGATTCACGTTTAAAACATATTTTAATTATTACAGAATTAAAACTAGATATAAACCTATATTTATGTGGCAAAAATTAACTAGGTGAAATCGAATGCCCAAAATGCTTCCTTTCCTGTTATTTGCATAAAATGATTTTTTTTTCAAAATGATCTTTTCAATTTAAAAAGCATATATGGTGTTCTACCTCGAAAAGCAGCTACAATAATTCCTCTCATGTTGTCGACAATAGTGGTCGAGTTTTGTAAACACTGTCTTAACCATAAAAAATACCAGACTAGATAAATTCAAGAGCATTAAAGTATTCTATTAATTGGTGAATGCAGAATGCATTCACCAACTTATAGAATCATGTCAATTCTCTCTGATGTAGGATAAGTTTTTTTTTTGTTTTAACTGGCACAAACTGATAACTAGTTGTTATAGTTGGACTAATTAGAGAGCTATGTTGAAGTAACGTCAGACATATCACAGCCACCTAGATTTTATCAAATAATAAAGATCTACTAAGATCAAATCATGTAAATGAAAATATCTAAGAAAATCTTTGTTTGAAGGATTCTAGGAAAAAAAACTTCTCCTGTAGGCAACCTTAATAGTATTTTGAAGAGAGATGAATTCTCCATTAAATATCGAAATAATATACTGGGTGATCCATTTAAAATAAAAGAATAACATGCTTTTAAAAGTGACCAATGTTCAATATTAATTTTGTCTCACCCTGTATAACTTTTTGGATCAAGTTTTAATTTGATTTAAAGTACAGTAGTTAATTTAACTACGTATTAGACTATACCGGACAAATTCCAATTTCGGTAGCTTTTATTGTAATTTAAAAATTGTTTTTTATTTCTAGAAAATGTTAAATATGTCAAAAATCTTACATTTTAGTCATATACTTTTCTTATAAAACTCACCTTTATTTTTCTTCCAGAATCCGAAAATCAATTAATATATAGGGTGTTAGAATTAGAATTAGAATAAGTGAGAGGGGGGTTAATCTCTGCGACCTTAGAGATCTATTGTGTCCCCCTTTCTTGAGTTATAACTCATCATACAGTCCCAGGACTTCCTACGGAGACCCGTGTCCCTCACAGTCGAGGAGCTACGACCCAGGCCGGGTAGACGAAACGGTAGCTTGTGTCGCCTTTTGGGTTTAGAGGTAGGAGGTAGGCTCCCGAACCTTGGAGGTGGTGAGCTTGTATGCCACTTGCGGAGGATGGTCTCACGCAAGTGTCCAGCCGCCTCTCTGTAGTTCTCTTTAAGGTTTGGCCCTTGGAACTTCCATTGTTATTGTTCCCCAGTGTCGCTAGGGGTTTCCCACAGCTTCACCGGTGATGTTTTTATTACTACTATTACCAGATCTCATAGTGTTTCTATGAGTCGCTAAGGACAGTCGGTCCACTTCTACAGAGCCCCGCATGTAGAAGTAAGGGGTAAAATACAATGGGGTGCCCCCCGGTGCCCCAAGGTTGAGGCTGTCCGTAGCCCCGCCCGGTATCGTTATATGTCTTGGTGCAATTCCCTGGCCACGACACTACAGTCAGGGACAAGACGATGAGTGAGATGCTTCTTAGACCGAGCCAGTGCTAGGGGGGATTCCCCCCAGCACCTGACCAGGAGCTTCCCCACCAACGACAAGGTCTTGCATCTCCTAGGGGAAGATATAGGGTGTTCCATTACAAAAAACACAACTTTGATATGTAACTTTTTTTGGGAACACCCTGTAGAACTCCCTATATTTTTAAAATATGTTCTGAATTAACCTACATATGCTCACAAAATTTCTTTTCAATATAAACTGTCGTTCTCCTCGGAGCCTCCGCGACGTACAATAGGCGCCACCCTGTATAATTGATAAATACTAATAATAATCTAGTACACTACACATAAAATATGATAGTAATGGAAGGAAATATTTTATGATATTCCACTATGAGCACTTACATTTTTCAAGCTCTGCTCGCAAAAAGCGTCCAATCTCGTTTTCTCCTCCTCAAGCACTTGCATGTTCTGAAACAAAAAAACAGAACAAATATAAACAAGACACATAACCTAAAATGGGATAAAATAAAAAGAGAGAATGGAAAGTCAAAGGGAAATTGGAAAGAAAACTTCCAATAAACTCCACGTGTGTACAAAAGACAAAGTAATGTCGGAAACGGTTCGGTTCGACGCCTCGCACCGATTTAATTCAATCGAAAGTTTAAATTGTGCGATAGCCTGGCCCTCGTAGTTCGCGATAAAAACCAAACGAGAAGAAATAAAAACCTTTGAGTTGCCTTATCGGGAAAGTCGCTTTCGGCTTTTTTCACTTGACTCCTTAAAGTCTGCCAGATATATCGATGTTGTATTTTTTACTGGCACTAAAATAAAGCAAAGTTACTTGGTTAAAAGTCTACTTAAAACAATCATTATACTATTTTTATATTTTTAAGCGAAGTAAACGGATAATGGTTTAGATTGATTCATCATCATTATCCTAAAAATCATAATCAAAACCACGGTTATCAGCATCACCATTATTGCAATTATCACCAGTATTATTATTATTTTTTTTTCATCATAATCATCATCAATGTAGATTGTTGGGAGGGGCGAAGTTAATCACCGCGACCTTATAGATCTATTGTTTCCCCGAGCCTTGAGTGATAACTGATCCTACGGTCTCAGGGCTATCAAAGACGGTTTCAGAGATTGTGCAGATAATTTATAATTTTTATCATAATCATTATCATCAAAACCACTACCATCGGAATCACCATGATTACTATTATCACCACCACCATTATAATCACCATCTCCTTCTTCTTTCTCTGCTTATCCATTAATGGATGTTTGCGACCACATTTTCTATGGCTTCCCTATCTCTGGCTGTGTGGATCAAAGTCTTGTAGCATTAGAAGTTATAAAAAAATGATGGAATGTTTTTTTATAAGAATTTTCTTTTGGAAAAAATATTAAAACAACTAATACTATGCGACGGAGCTGTTCGCCGGTGAGCAATGGGTCGTAAGCTAGTGAAAATTAAATTGTGATACTTACGTCTTTATAATATACTGGGCGCCACTCAGTTTAATTTACTTTCGAAAACTTTCAAGTTGAGAACTGAGAAATCAACTCAGAATATAGGTATTACTTATTTTAGGAATTACACAAATGAAACGCTGAGATAAACTAATAACTAAGTATAATTAATAATTAAATGTTAATTAGAATAAAATAAGACTATGAAAAATTTGATGTTTGAAAATGTTTGTTGGTAGATAGTATGTATCAAAATAGATCACTCAAGATGGTAGTTAAATCTGCACACTTCTGAATACTAATATTTTATTTATTATTCCGCAAAAAGTCTGGCGATCTTGGTAACAAAATATAGGGACTCTTTATACTAAAAAAAACCATACTATGTAGATATCAGAAATATGCATAACATGAATAAAATATTTCAAAGTGACTCTAAAGTAATCAAATATATAATATGCCTGAAGGGCTTAATGTATTCAAGTGAATTTAAATTATATAAAAAGAAATGATCCGGCCTTTTTTTATCCGTTCTGGTCACAAGCTGGTTGTGGTGAACTGCTACTGGAACTGGATTGTGATAAAAACGGACAGGATCCTAAACTGCTGTGGAATCAGGAGATTCCTCCGTTATTCCCGGTGTGAATAGTAGGGACAAAACGTGGCCCAAATGTCAGGTACAAAAACAAAATGGCACCAGAAAATGCTACCATTAAACCAAATGCGTACCATAAAATAAAACCCTGTCAAAAAAGAAGTATTAGGAAACGTTACGTTAAAAATAAAAGTCTTACCTCTGCTCAGAGGGTTTTCTCAAACAAATTGGCAAAATGCCAACAACCGCCGATAGCTCTATCGGTTTGAGCCTTTACCACCAATATGGCGAGGGAAGGGAGGCACGCAGTGCGAATATACACTGTCAGATATAAAGTGACCAACAAACTTCGACCGGACTGAAATATTTCGCCAGAAATAAACTTGGAAAAAAATAAAAGACAATAGCAGTACTTATAATGCCATCTCGTTGCGAGGACTTAAACTTGATTTATTTAAATAAAATAATTCTGTACATTTATATAAATTATGTGTAATTTAAATAAAATGCTACAGTCTGTATGTTACTAATGCCTGTCCACTGTCTTATCTTCCGCAGCCGCGACATTTTTTTCCGTCCCAAACCTCTTCTGCCCTCGATAATCAACTGGAGAAATGTGTATTTATGGTTACGCATGACGTGACCCAGGTATGCGGTCTTTCTTTTTTTTTATAGTGTTGAAGAGTTCTCTATTAACACGTCTTAGTACATCCTCGTTTCTTATCTTGGCCGTCCATGGTATCTTGAGGATTCTGCGGTATATCCACATTTCGAAAGCTTCCAGTCTGTTTATGGCACTGGCTTTTATTGTCCAACTCTCCATGCCGTAGAGGAGTACCGACCAGACGTAGCCTTCCACAAATCTCAACCGAAGCTCAAGGTCGAAATCGCTACAGGTGAAGACTTTTTTAAATTTCAGGAATGCGCCCCGGGCTTGCTCGATTCTGCACTTAATGTCCCTGTCAGATGACCAGTCCTCGTGAAGCCAACCAGGTACTTGAATTTTTGGACTCGTTCTATGAATTTTCCCTCGTATGTTAAGCTGACCTCTCTAAACTCATCCACCTCTCTCGTGACAACCATGAATTTTGTTTTCTTTGTGTTAATGGCCAGTCCCATTCTTTGACTACATTCTCCTACCATACTAACCAACTGTTGTAAATCATCCATGTTATCCGCAACCAAAACTGTGTCATCGGCATATCGTATGTTATTTATCCAGACTCTATTGACTCTAATTCCAATCTCCTCGTCCTCTCGCGACTCCTGGCTTCTGAGTACATATTGAACATATAATCACCATCATCATAGATCAAATAAGATTTTTTGAGGTGTCTATTGACTTATTCTGCTGGGATCATTCCAGGTCTTTTTTGTCGTCTTCTGGTCTCTAGGTTCCATCATATAATACCCTAAAATAATGAAACACGCTAATACTTTGCATTTCTGCCCTTGGCTGCTATAACTGTCTGTATACGTCCGTTCATACTGTCATTGATGTTGCATATATATATCGTAAGTGCGTTAAGTTTCCCATTCTTCTTTAAGGAACAAGGGAAGTTCATTTAATGAAGCTGGTATTGCTTCGCGACCTCTAACCCTCCCCCCAAGCATTTGCCAAACGTCGAACATGATGGGCAGTTCATAGTAGTATATAGTTCACAATAATCACCAAAGCCGCCTTGTCACATTGAAAAATAACTTCAAAAAGAAATGATAATTGAAAAATTTGCAAATTTATGGTGGCAAGTTCATTTCGCTCTAAAAAATTAGCCAAGGCATGTATTGACATGATCCAAAAAACAAAATGCTCAGAAGACATGGTTCTCGCCGTAAAATTATATTTTAGGAAAATTTACACACGAAATTATTGCACAGAGTGTTCTAAAGTTAGGGTAAAGAAACAACCCCTCGATTAACCCTGTTTAATATGCCAAATACTACAGTTTATAAAAAAATGAGTTTACGAATAAAAGGTGATATAATTATATACAGCTTGTTAAAAAATCATGAAAATGGGGCTAAAAATAACAAAAACATAACGCTTTAAATTGACACTAACCCAAAATTTCTCCGTTGCGTTTTTTTGCAGCTGAGTTGCCAAACGTTTATCATTACTAAATGCAAAAAACCGCATATTTTTAAGTCTCTCATACTGACATAGAATGTGTTTTGCCATTTCTTCTTTACTGCGCTGCATAACTGGACCTATAAATGGCATTTCATCTGCACTGTTTTTTACTATGAATGCTTTGAGGCACATAAAAATAATCGTTGTTGTTTACATACAAGTTTACAGGAGAAACAACAAGAGAAAAAAAGTCAGTGGCGCACATGTTTATTTTTTAAGAAAAATATGCCAGTGATAACCCATACGCACGTCCCTGGTGAATCTGTCGACACTTTTTTAGTGTTGAAATATGTCGCACTTAGTAACTTAGTCAACTTAGTAACTTTTACCTGACGACATAGTCCTAATTACCAATAGTCCTGAAGAACTAACTGCAAGCACAAAGTAATGGACTAAATACAGCCAGCAATAAAATAGAAGTTAGCATGGACCCAAGTAGCATTTGGACGTTATCTAACGTCGGGTATACGTCGCGTTCAATAAACCCGACGTCTCGTACCAACGTCGCGTCGGTTCGACCGCCTGACGACCCTTATTTGCACCTAAATGGGGAATACAGATTCGAGTCGCCTCGACGTCGGTATCTGACCTGATAGGGAATGTAATTCTACCAATTACCAACGTCATATTACGTTGAATTTTAGTAGTCACTTATAATTCGTCGCTAAGCACTTACGTTACGTTTGGTTTCATATTCGCTACCAAGAATACATAAAAATCTAACCAAACTACCTAATTACAAATGGATTCATAATCACTCCTCGAATATAACTATAAGTGCCTATCTAATTTCATATTATAATAATTCTGAATCATTAATCCAGACATCAGTTTTGTCAGCGGAAGTCACTTTTTTGATATATCTGATTAAAATACCTCGGAAAACAACGAGCGACTTCAAAATTAGGTAGATTTATGAAATAAAAATATCTATAAAAAAGTAACTCGCAAAATATTTTTTTTTAATTTTCTAGCTGGTTTAATCATAAAACTGTACTGTGGTTCCCCCCAAACTGAACCTTATCAATATTATTCTACTAGAAATCGAAATGTGAATATAAATTTTAAAAACAAAAAACGATTTTAAAATGGCTGACAATCGGATATGTGTTAAGAATGGCGGATTTCTGTGTCCGACTTAATATGAACTACCAATATACCAATTCCGACCGGGTCTCCAACATTAGTCGTCTCACACGACCGAAGTCATCAAACCGGACGACCGGCAATCATATTATGACTTATATAATTCCAACGTACGCCACGTAACCTCACTTTGCGTATCAGTGATTAGTGGAACTATATTTTAGTTTTTGTTTTCTCCTTAAAAAAATGGGCAGCCACTTTTTTAAGCCTAACCTCACATGTCGGAGGAGGATGGGGTCTGCTAGTTTCCTAAGCTAAAAAATGAAATTAAGATGCACCAGTGTAATGCAGCATCTCTTCCGGATAAAAAGCATTTACGGGTGGAGGCAAGACATCACTACTACTATTATTATTTTGCAAAAGCCTCGACCTCTTTCTGTAAATGTAGATGAATGTCTAAATGCCTTTTTAGTGTTTTTTAGGCATAATAAAAAAATTAAGTTTGTTTACAAAAACTTTTTATTAGGTTATGTTCATGATGTTCATTAGGTCGCAAATGCTACTTAATGGGTTGTATTTACTGACGTAAATAGAGATACGTAAATTAGGTTATAAATATGAACATAAAATACAACAAAATATAATTGGATGTTACTTTAGGGATTATCAGTGAGACGTATCCTATTCGGACAACGGGTAGACGTCGGGCTAGTTCAAGTATATGTACGTCGTGCAATCCAACGTGGGAACGACGTTGGGAAATTAATAAAAATGGTACGTTGTTATTTTGTAAGTCGACAGATCGTTGGATTTACCGACTCAGATCGAAATTTTCACAGGTCGTATCACCAGCACCCGACCTAAATTTGCACAAAGTCTGACGTCGCTTCAGGTCAGATTTAGTTCGAAGTCAGATAGATGCTACTTGGGAGTACTTATGGAAAAGACTCAATCATTTTCAAATCTAGAATGCCACTTTAACTAAAAAAAAAATCCGACTAATGTGTACTACCAGTCATGACCTATGCATGCGAAACCTAGACACTTAAATCGGACATTATAAGGAAACTGTAGGTCGCACAACACTCAATGGAACGAAATATGCTGGGAATAACCAAGAAAGACCGTAAAAGAACAGAGTGGATACGATAAAAACGCAGGTAATAGATGCCATCCACAGAATCAAATCCCCCAAGTGGCATAAAAACAAATGGATGGATCACAAAAATTACAGCATGGTACCCATGCGGAATTAAGAGGCCTAGAAGAAGGGCCGAACCTGAGATGGGACCATAATAGTAGCAAAGATTACAATGAAATTAGCAGGGATAATTTTGGCCCGCATAGCTAACAATAGACAACAATGGGCCCAACTACAAAGAAAGTATGTGAGGGAGGCTACACCATAATTGGAAATGGTTGAATAAGCTGAAAATGATATTAATTGAAAGATCAATAATTGAGAAACTGATTCAAAATTTTACAATCAGTTATTTATGCACAGTCTTTAATTCACCTGAAGATTTAAACACTTACTTTGTTAATGTGGCTAAAAATTTAGTGAACACTATAACTCCTTCTCATGGTTCACTTTCATATCTCCCTAAAGCAAATGAGAATTTACACAGTTTTTTCTTCACGCCCGTAGCATTAGATGAGCTCCGTAGTACAATTATTAATAGTATTAAAAACAAATCCTCATCTGGACCTGATGGGCTTACTCTCAAAATGCTCTCTGAACTTCCTGAATGCACGTTAATCCATCTTACTACTTTAATTAACGAGTCATTCCAAAAAGGAATTTTTCCAAACTGCCTTAAGACAGCAATAATTATTCCTCTGCATAAAGGAGGAGATAAAGATGAAGCTTCGAACTTTCGCCCAATTGCACTCCTGCCCACATTATCTAAGATCATTGAAAGATTGGTTAAAAAAAGGTTTCTATATTTTCTCCTTAAATATAAAATACTTACTACCCATCAATTTGAATTTCTAAGAACAGTTGCACAAATGATGCTATGTTCGACCTTTTTAATAATGTATACTCTGGCCTGAATAACCATATACAGCTATACTTTTCTGTGATTTCTCTAAGGCTTTCGACTGTGTAAATCATAATATCTTAATTAACAAATTGCAATACTATGGATTCAGGGGAGTGCCGCTCGAATGGCTTAAGCCATATCTTGGCAACAGAAGGCAGCTTATGAGGATTGATACGTCTATGTCTTCTTGTAAGCCTATAGAATGTGGTGTCCCTCAGGGTTCAGTACTTGACCCTATTTTGTTTCTGGTGTTTATCAACGACATTGCAAATCTAGACATTAGCGGTAAAATCTGCCTCTTTGCGGACAATACTAGTTTCACTTGGAGCGGCCCAGATGTTACGGCACCAACGGCACTATATGATACTATATCCGCTTTAAATCACACCATTAAACTTACTCACACCATTAAATCTTGGTGCGATTCTAATCTCCTATGCCTCAACCTATCAAAAACTAAAGTTTTATCATATAAAAGTACTATACAACCTTTTGTACTTAATAACACCACTATTGACGTCGTGGACTCTGTGAAATTCTTAGGACTTGTTGTAGACAACTCGTTAAAATGGGACTTTCACATCGAAGCTCTATCAAAGAAACTAAGCGCTGCCTGTTTTGCGCTAGGTTTCTAAGGAACTTAACTTATCAACCTCTAGAATAGCCTATTATGCCCTTTTTGAGTCACATCTTCGTTATGCCCTTCCATTCTGGGGTACTTGCTGCGCAACAAAATTTGATCGAATTTTCAGACTTCAAAGGAGAGCAGTTCGATATTTATTGGGACTGAACAGTAGAACTCACTGCCAGAATTTCTTTAAAAATTTCAAAATACTGACTCTTCCTTTATTCATTTTTGAATCCGTTTGCTTAATCCGCAAGCATATATCTGCTATTCCCGAAAGGCCATCTCATAACTATCCACTTCGGAATGCGGAGCACGAGCTTTATTTGCCAACTCCGAGCTCAGAACTAGTTAAATGTTCAATACTGTACAATGCCAAAAAAATGTACAATCATCTGCCTTTGAATATCAAATCGCTTTCATTCTTTCCCGCATTTTGCAAAGCTCTGAAGTCATACTTACTGGAGAGAGCCCTATATGCGGTAAACGACTTTTTGTTGATGTTTAATCATGAACAATTTGGAATTTTAAAAATTTAGATCATCTCACACACTTGTCAAAGGTCAAGTATTTAATATTTTATAACTCTTAAAATAATATCTATTTACTGCTTACTGTTCTGCAATTGCCCATGTATGTTCATTTTGGTTCTCTAATTGAACGAAGTTCATTTAAAAATTGTCCAATATTTGACTTAGTACGGAATACGCTAATAACAACTTCCGTTGTGAGTGAAAACTAAATTAGTTTTGTATATTTGATTTTTCCAGCGATTTTTGAGTTTACTATGTTGAAACAAATTGATATGTTCATTCATAACTTTGGTTTTTATTTTTATACCACGGTTTTCTAAATCTTCTTGTAATTTATGTAACAAATGTATAATTTTATTTTACTATTAGTCAAATAATAATGCTTTTATTGCAATTAGAATTAAGAAATTTGCATTTTTAATATCGTATTTTGCTGTAATTATACTAAAATTGATATAACAGACCTTTAACTCTTTATCCATGGCAAGTCCTGACTTAGTAGATCCTCTCGACTTCTTCCTTTGTTTCTTCATCATGGCGGCTGCTTTACTATAGGTCTCCGATCGTTGTTTGTGCTGTTGCAAAAATCTCTTCTGCTCAGACTACAAATAAAGAAAAAAAATCAATAATATGTATAAAATTGGCTGCCTAAAATGACAAAAAAAGAGGCATTAATTTGTTTTTAATAATAATTTAAAAAAAAAACATAACACATTATATCAACCAAATTTTAAGCTCTTATTTCTTTAAATATTGACTATATACATTAAAAATCCTTTACTAAAGAACGACCTTTTGGGTATATAGCCAGAATTCTGGCGTTTACGATTAATATACAGGACAAGTTGTTGTTTACATGGATTTATGGCTTAACTTCGTAAGTGTGAACTGTCATTAAGATAATGGTTGTTAATGACAGACGTGACTTTATCTAATGAGAGTTTATAGGCATATCAAGGATTACATAGATGTACCGTTACAAAAATAATTTAATGTAGCCGTCTTGCTTATTTTAAGTAAGATAATATACAAGAATAAGTGAAAGTGATTCTTGCATTAGACATTTATACTAGGTGGTGCATCGTCGTCGAAAACATAGGAAATCCCGTGCAAATTTTGAACTGTTCAAATATTGGCTCCCTTGTTGATTTTACAGCGAAGAGGTAAGCAGGTTTTTTAAAGGTCTACATATGGCTGAATAAACATGCTAAATTTGAACAATTTTGGACATGCCAGAAATAATTTTTTTTATTAAATGAAAAACAAAAAATCCGGCGATGACAGTTTTTAGAAGAGCCAATTAGCTATCTTTTAGTAAAAAAGCAACTTTCTAGAGCAAGTCGTTACTTCAGTAGAGACGACACAGATAAACATCAGCATTTTATAGATATGGCAACGTAAACTACAGGCAAATACTCCACCACTAACAAAATATTCGTTAGTGTTATAATATATAGTTGACAAAAAGGAATAAAAAAATAAACAAAGTAAAAGCTGTAAATCGAACATACAGTATGTCCCGGATTGTCTTTATAACAGGAAAAACTTTTTTATTATTATTGACATTTAACAAAAATGCTTCTTCTTAAGATGCCGTGCAGATTCCTGCGTAGGCGTTCATCTTTTTCTTCCTCATCAGATAATTCTATTTATTGCAGCGACTTGGAGTGCTTGGAAGTCCTGTATGCCTGTCCAACGACGAATATTTCTCAGCCAGGATAGCTTCCTTCGGCCTATTCCCCTTTAGCCCCCCTCGATTTTACCCTGGAGAATTAGACGCTGAAAGTGATAGCGTTCTCCTCATAATATGTGTCCCAAATAGGCTATTTTCCTCTTCTTGATGATTTCGAAGTGTTCGCGTTCTTCTAGACCAGCTCTTCTGAGAATGTCTTCATTCCTCACACAGTCGACACTCTTAGTATTCGTCGTAGGGTCCACATTTCAAAGGCTTCAATTCTGTTTATTGTTGCTACCTTCAGTGTCCACATTTCCACACCATATAACAAAACGGACCAGACATAGCACTTCACCATTCTGTATCTAAGGTCGAAGTTCAAGTTCCTATCTGTGAGAAACCTTCGAAGTTTTAGAAAAATTATTCTTGCTTGCTCGATCCTGCATTTGATCTCCTGATCTGGATCCCACGTTTGGTTAACCATGCATTCCAAGTATTTAAATTGTGTGACCTGCTTGATGACCTCTCCATTTAAGTAAATTCTGGTGTTCGCAATGTTGTTTCTGCTGACAACCATAAATTTAGTTTTTCTAGTATTAATGCTTAAACCCAATTTTTGGCTCATTGTCAAATGCTCAAACCTTATTTAGAAGGATTTGGAGATCATTTGCATTGTCTGCCAATATTATCCAGTGTCATCCGCATATCGGATATTATTAATTGGAATACCATTTATTTTCAAACCAATGGGACTGTCGGAGATTGACTCAGTGAATGCTCTTTCCACATACAAGTTAAACAACATTGGAGATAGAATACACCCCTGCCTTACCCCCTTTTTTATTTCAAAATCTTCTCTTACTCCCACGTTATGTATACGAATTTTAGCTTTTTGGTTTCAATACAAATTACCGATCAGCCTTATATCTTTTCCATCAAGTCCCAAAGTCTCTGAGGTATGATATAAGGAGGTTATGTTTAACATTATCAGCAAGTAAGTAGAAAAAGCTAAAAATTTTATGAAGAATGCATTTTTCTCAAAATGTCAATAATAAAAATGTTTTTCCTCTTGTAAAGAAAAACCGGCGACATACTGTAGAAAAATGTTGCAGATCCATTTTATGTCGACGATATCGAGAAAAGAAAGCTCGACTACAGGCCAATGAACAACTGAATCTTTGTTAATAAAAACAATGATTTTTTCATCACATAGGAACAAATGAAAACTTAAAAATTGTGTCAGGTATTTTCAATACATAGAATGCTTGCGTAAGGTGCGAGATCTGTGATTTTTTTGTATAATATCTAGGCTTTTTTCAAAAAATATACCCGCCAAAAATGTATAGACAAAAACTTCCTTTTTTCATTTCATGCAAGATGAAGAAGTACCAAAAAAGCTATTATTAGACCAGTTAATTCTAAAGACACTCCAATATGGTCTCGGCTAAGTCCCGTTTTAAACCCGTATTACTTGGGAGCGAGTTCCGGACCTCGATTAGATCCTTAATCAGATTAGAACTGGATAAATTTCTGGATTATTTTGGATTATATGGCCGATTCTCGATAGCGGCACCACCGGCGGCACCGCAAACTGGCGTTTTATACGTAGATTGTATTCCTACACGGGCCGTTATCCTTAATATGGCGGGATTAAGCCGACGCGGTCGGCGGTGTTGCCAATTACATAGCGTATTTTGCTTAATTTGCTCTAGTCGGCCTGACGTAACGGCTTAGCGGATAACGTTGTTTGTTGTTGTTGGAGATGGGTATTAGTTATCGCATAATAATGTCTTTACGTCCAATAATAGATAGGTTATTACATAAACTATGTGGATTAAAGAGGAAAATAAAACACCAATACACCAAAAACTTTACTTTTAAACACAAATTGTGTTAAAAATAAAGTATTTTTGAGTATTATGGTGAATTATTACTGTTTTATTTTGCTGTTGTAACACGAAAGGTTCCAAAAGGTTCCCAACTGTAATTTATCGATTAAAGTTTGATTTATGGCATAAACAGACAACTTATTAACGGGTCTGAAAACCGGGTCTAAGAAATGATGAATATACAGGGTGTCTCAAAAACGTTGTGCTATTTCTAGTTTTAGCTATAGAATATAAATAGCTAGTAGCTATTTTTTATATCAACATAGGTCCGATTCTGCTTTCTTTCGTACCTACAGGGGATTAAACTCTTAATTTTTTTTCGATTTATTATAATTTTTTTCCAAACGCTGTTAGCGAGTGGAATGATGATATACAGGGTGTCCCAGTCTGAGCGTGCATTAGAAGTTTCTAGAGAACTACAATATTTAGATCGAAGATTTTTTGCACATTACTGTTTCACAACGAGATCTATCGATTAAAAATATTTTCAATATGGCGACACTTCCGGAAATACCGGAAGTAGACAGGAACCTTTTTATTTTAAACAGCTACACAAATTTTTTATTACGTACTTAAATTCTCTGTAAAATTTTATAAATTTTGATATCAAACACTTTATACCTAACATTAACCGTTTTTGAGAAAAAAATATTTAAAATTTTTTGGAGGAAAAGACTGTCTGTCAAAAAAATCTGTATAGCCTAAACGACAAATTTATTGATTACTACAGCCACTGTGGCATAAAGAGAAAACATATGGATATCTATTACAAAAATTAAATTATTCGAATGTCATATAATATTGGCCGTAGCTGTTATGAAATTGAGCGATTAAGAAATTATCATAAATCATTTTTTTTTCAAATGGAAACCCATTTTTTTATTGCACTAATAAAAAGTTTTTTTAATTCGTTGCTTTTTGACTATACATGTTCCTATACCTAAAATAAATCGTTTTGAAGTTAATTAAGATTTAGTTTTAAAGCGTATATTTTTTGGTTCTTAACAAGTAGTCTATGACATTAAACGTCAAGCGATGTAAAACTATATCTGGTCATGTCATATTGCCATTAGATATTACTAAAATATGAGATATATTTTTATAAATACAACTTTTAAAGTTTTAGCACCAGTATTTATACTATACGAAATTCAAATAATTATTTTTTTGACAGAAGGAAATAAATTGTCTGATGGTTTGACACCTAATGTCAAAGGAAGCTAGATAAAATCAAGAAAAAAATTATGCTTTAAAACTAAATCTAAAATAACTTAAAAACGATTTATTTTAGTATAACATGTATAGTCAAAAAGTAACGAATTAAAAAAACTTTTCAATAGCGAAATAAAAAAATGGATTTCCATTTGAAAAAAATGATTTATGATATTTTTTTAATCACTCAATTTCATCCATAGATAAAAGAAAATAATCTTCTATTAAGATAGATATGAAACTTAATAGTAAAATTTTGGGTCAAAGCGCCCTTCCGTGTTCTTAGTAGAGACTAAGTTTAACCCAGCGCCTTCGCCTTTTCTGCTGTAAATATTTTTTATGTTTATATTTGATTTTCAAAGGATTTAGTTTCAAAGTTACACTGATATATTAGTATATCAGAGTAACTTTAATAAAACACAACAGAGTTAGCATGGTGTGTTACGCTGTTGACAGCCATTATCGCGAAGACAGAGGACGATATGCAGAGACAGCTTCATAAATTCTATCGGTAAGCCGAGAATTAAATATGATTATCTTTACAGAAAAAAACTAAATGCTTAACTTTCTCTAAAGAGCCGGTAAGATGCAAACTGGTAGTAGAAAACAAAATTTTTGAGCAAGTATTACAGTTTAGATACCTAGAAATAGATATGTCATACTACCATGATCCAGAGAAAGATCTAAGAAGCCAAATGAACAGAGCAACGGCCATGTCAAGATTTCTGAGGCAAATAGTGTACACAAACCCCTTCATGCAAACAGACAGCACAATTAAAACTTATAAGACCTGCATCAGACCAATAATGACATATGGCATAGAAATGTTAAAGGAAACAAACAAAACCAAAAGCATGAGTCGCTGAAATGAAGAAACAAAGAACCATAATGGGGAAGACTAGAAGAGACAGAATTAGAAACACAAATAACAGACAACAATGTGGAATAAAGGACGACTCCTACAGAGGCAACCTTAAAACTTACAGATCGACTAGATCTCAAATATGTAGTAGAAGAAATAATTTACACTTCAGTACTTCAGAATATCTTAAATTTGGTTCCGAATTATATTCAAAAATAAAATAATAGATAGATAGAGAAATGCACTTCAAGAGCTAGTAACTTTGTTTTCTAGCTCTCTTTCAGTTAACATTTTTCAAGATGCAAATTATATTTCCAAACTTCCTCAAATATTCCTCAAACGTTAAAAGAACGAGGGTTTTGTTTGCAAAACTCAGTTATGGCATTACGATAAACTATTCCTTAAAATACATCGAAGGATAATTACTTTTCAGTTTGGTTAAGAAAATTATAATAAAAGTTTAAGATACAAGTTTACATTAAAACTTACTTGAACTACTTTGGTGTCTTTCTCCAGATTTGTTTCCAGAGGAACTAATAAATCGACGTAGAAGGCCTTCAGCTGAAAAAGAAATATGTAAATTAGATATTGCTTAATTGTAGGGTAATATTAATTATTATAACATTTTAATAAATAAATAAATATTATATTTTTTTCGTGGCTGATATTTTTTTTCTTGACATGTAATATGCCTAATGTAATCAAGTGGATGTTATACACAAAAGAATCTATAAAAAAACATTGGTGTTGTGTTTGTATTCCATTTTTGGAATGTATACAAATTCTTCTTCTTATGGTACTAGGTTTTGTACAAAGCATAGGTGACTTTCCGCATGTTCTTGTGTTGTGGTTTGCATAACACAAGTATGTACAGGATGGCTCGAATTCGACGCTCATCATTGGGATCTCGGAAACCGTAAGCGATACAGGATCGGTTAAATAGAGGCAAAGTTGCTCAATTTGATGCCCAATAAAATGCCGTATTGCATTTTGAAAAATTCCGAATACTTCCGAATATATTCGCAAAAAAAACCCGGGATTTTCAATTTTGTTTTCTATTGTTTCCTGGCTTTATTTGTTAAGATAACTTAAAATGAAAAACACATTTTCATGGCCACTTTTTCTGCTCTATAACTCTGTGTGATTAAATATTGACTCTGACGTTTCGGCTTCTGGCGACCATCAACCTAGTTTTTTTTAAATACGGACGTGCATATTTTTTCAATTTAATTAAATCCTTTTATCACTCTTAAAACACTATATATAGTCACTTTGATATTTGCCGACGTTTCGTACAGAAAATGCCATCACCAGAATATTTTCTGCAAAAAAAAATAAAAAATAAAAATTCAATACTGCATTTTATTGAGCATCAAATTGCGCAACTTTGCCTCCATTTAACCGATCCTGTGTCTCTTACGATTTCCGAAATCCCAATGATGAGCGTCGAATTCGAGCCACCCTGTACATTGTTGTCATATTTTATTGCTGAATTTAAACGGCCCTATTTGGGAAGTTATATTAAACATATATACTTAAGGTGTTATACATTATTTTCCTTGAAGTGGCGGCCTGGGCCCGTATTCTGTAACTTTGAAAACGCTAAGCGCTTTTAGACGTTCAGCGTATGTGACGTTAACTTTCAGTTAGAGAGCACTTAACTACCGACTTGAGTATTCTCATCTGACGCGCTTAGCGTCTTTACTGATTGCGCTAAGCGATTCGAAAACGGCTACCTTAGAGGATTGTTTTGCTTGTCAAACTATCAGTAAAAAGAGAAAAAATTGTGATTTTGTACGTTCTCTTTCTCTTTATTGAAAACTATTTCTTCTTCTATACTCCTCAATAAGTAATTGATAATTTACGACTTGGCAGCTATAAATATTGTTCAAAACATCGAAAATGCTGGGAAGAATCTTCAACACTTCCCTCGTATAATAAGAATAATGACATATCCATAAAAAAATAGCTTGACATAACTGAACAATAGGTTATGAAATTCACGTAACATTGATATTTTTTATTGTTACATCCTCAGTTATCAACTTTTCACTATTACCTACATTAGAAATTGTGATGTTACCAATATGTGCTCAACGCGTATCCAGAACACGATTCGCATGGCAACGAGAATACCAAAATCGACAGCCTTGCGTTTCGCTGATCGAATACTTGCGCTCACCGCTTTGAAAGCGTAACGTTTTTATGTCAAAGTTACAGAATACGGGCCCTGTTGATCGTTCTATTTAGATAAATAAATATTATTATTTAAATAAAGAAATTGACTGTGATTCAAACACTCACCAGAAGCACTTTTCAATTTTTTTTTTCAAAAAAACTTATTGCAGGAAACTTTTTTTAAAGAAACTTATACAGGCTGAGTCTTAAATAAGTGCAAATATTTTCAGGGGTCGTATATTTCGACCGCAGGAACATGTCTATGAGGTTTTTTTCGCTAAAAAAGATGTTGAAAATCGTGCATTTTCTTTTAAATTTCCCTGTATACCTATTTTTCAAAAACTTTTTAGAACAAAAAAACTTTTTGCCTGTTCATCGCAAATTTTCCCGCGGTATAATTTCTTAATCTCTGATATTACAATAGTTACGGCTTTACTCAATGGTTACGGCAATAAAAGGGGTGCAAATACAGAAAAAATCCAGTGGCTCTCAAAATTTTTTCAAAGAAAAATCAATTGTTTTTTAAATTTTCAAACTTAAATAACTCGGTTATTTTGGACTTATCTGAAAAATAGTGAGAGAAAATATATTTCTTCTATCGAGATCTACCAGCCCTGAAAATATATATGCCCTTATTTAAGACTCATCCTGTATATAATTTTAAAAATGTCCATTAAGCACAAGCAACAAAAATACAAGAAATGTAAACCACAGCCTGCTCAGTTATGACAAATCTATAATCACACATTTTTTCCAATTTTAAAAATTACTTATTATACATAAAATTGACCTGAATTTGAAAATATTTCAATACCAAATACAAATAAGCAGTGAAAATTATGAATTTAACAAAGAATTATAAATGCAATTAAAATGTAGATTCTAGAATTTATTTAAAATTATGATGTTGACATCTGAAATTTTTAAATTTCTATATTTTTTGCTACATAAATCTAGATATTTTTTACTGTTTAAAGGATAATTTATACATAGTCGCTGATATGTATAGAAAGTACCGCAAAAAGTTAAATATAAAAGTTATAGGGATTTTAAACGTCTATTGGCCAGTAATAAACATAAGTAGACGGGGTCGGTCATAAAGTCGTGGCACATCAAAGTTCCATTTTTTAAATGGAATATCCTGTATATTATTGCATATTTCAATTCTTAACAAAAACAGGGATACACCCAATGTACCTCAAACCAATCTTTTCCGAGTTATTGACTTTTGAAAATATCACTTAAACAATTCGATTTAATTAATTTCGATGTGTGCGGTTTTAATTAACGATGTCATTCTACGGAAATTGTCATACTTAATAATATTTGACATTAGTTTTCAAGTTAGCATTCAGAGATGTATAAAATGAACCAAACATTTCAAAACCAAAACTCGATATCTCGGAAACCGATAAATTTAGGTACATTACGTGTATTACAATTTTTGCTTAAAATTGAAGGAAGAATTGAAATACCCAATAATATACGGGGGTTCTATTTAAAAATTGAATCCTTGAGGCGCCATGACTTTATGACCGAGCCTGTATACTTAAATTTATTACAAGATGTTAAGCATTTAAAAACTCTATAACTTTTGGGACCTCGTATACTTTGCCCAATAATCGACCGTTTTCATACATATCAGCAACCCCTGTATATTTGATCCACTGCAGTGCAAAAATAAAAAAACTCTTTAAAATTTATCTACTCTTTAACATAAAAAAGTATATAATATGTATAAAAATAATTCCTTTCGACGGGTAAATATAGCAATTTTCAACTACTTTTAAATTTACTTTCTAAAAAGAAGAACAATAAAACAAAACTACCCTACTGATAAGACAACATTGTAAAAGAAACAAACAAGTTTTTATTTTGAATAAATCCATAATAACATCGCAGTGAAAAACTCGATCTTTTCCCTTGATCAAAGTTTCCGTGGCAAGCGAAAAGTTATCTCTGTATTCCCCGAACTGTCGTTAAAAAGAGTGGGCTGCGCCGTACTATTCCCCTGTCCGACTTCCCAATTACGTCCGATTCCGGGGTTAACGACGTTTGCCGACTTTTCCGGACGCTCTTTTAATCGTCAGGTATTTCTATGAATAAATTAATCTCGATGGTAATGTATTTCTTTCCGATAAATCTCGTTTTTCCTTTGATGTACATTAATTCGTTATTTAGCCTTATTAAACTTCTTCGTATTTTATATTTTTGTACGGCAAAAGGCAATTTAGAAAACATGAGAATCTTGTGAACGTTTATTCGACATCAACATCTTTGAATTACCAAGTAATAAAATAAAATAGTTTACAGAGAAGTAAAAAGGCTTTAACCTTTACAGTGTGCTAACTTCTGCATTAAGTTTACAAGACCGAAGGAAATAACCATCTGGTCTGATGTACTTAAAGCAGAAATTAGCACACTTGTAGAGGTTAAAGCTTTTTTAGTTCTCTTTATACTATTTTATTTTATATAGACTACCTACCTACTTTGCTTTTAGCTCCATCTACGGTTACGTAGATGAAGCAAACTTGATAACTCATAATATTTTCTTATTCTTTTGAGAAATTTTTGCTAATACAGGGTGTTTTAAAAAACATGTGCCATCTCTAAAGGGTAGATTCCTCACGTAAAAATAATATCTATTTTTCATATCAACATAGGTCCAATACTGTTTTATTTCGTAACTACAGGGTGTTAAAATCTTAATATTTTTTCGATTTATTATAATTTTCTTCCAGGTACTTTTAGCGTTTCGAATAAAATTTTGAAGGTAAATGTTAGTATACGACATATTTTAATGCCAAAAAAGTGTCGATATTCATCAGGGACGTGCATATGGGTTATCACTGGAATATTTTTCTAAAAAAAACATTTTTTCTGCCACCGATTTTTTCGTTTTGTTAGCGAAATAGTGTAAGCAGTTAACTGGCGATTAAACGTTATCTCTTGATATAACCCCAATTTTATTAATTTGCCTTGATCCAAGTCTAATAGCAACCTTTAAAAATTTTTAATATCATTAACTTGCGAAAGTTTTAAATAAGTACTCATCGATTCCTTGCCATAAAAATATGAAAAAAAAATGATGGAAATGCATAGTTTTAGAGTTACAGGAAACTTTTTAAAATTAGGTTTTTTGTAATTATAGATCACCATTATTTTTTTTATTTCAAATTGCTGTAGGTTGGATTAATAGTAATAATATTTAACGAAAAATTAGCTAAAATATATAATTTATTAATTTTTATTTAAATGTTATTAATTGTTATTAATAAAATTGCGTTTATTTCATCAAGGAGGCCAAATTCGACAAAATATCAAAAGAACTTTTAATTAGCATTAAACGGCTTACACATTTTTGATATCGAAAGAAAAAAATCAGTGGTGCACAGGTTTTTTTTAAATGTTTCACTGATAACCGATATGCACGTCCCTGATGAATTTATCTCCACTTTTTAGCCATTAAAATATGTAACACTTATAGTAACTTTTACCCTCAAAATTTCATTCGAATCATTAAAGTACTTGGAAGAAAATTATAATAAATCAAAAGAACATTAAGACTAACACCTTGTAGCTACGAAACAAAGAAGAATCAGACCTATGCTGATATGAAAAATAAATCTTATTTTTACGTGAGGAATCTCCCCAAAAGAGATTGCACATGTTTTTTACAACACGCTGTATATTTACAATCGTAATAATTTTAATATCAATAGAATTAACCTAAATATTTCTAAAGATTATCAAACAATTGACAAAGTCATACATTCAAATAATTATTAGTTATTTGTGTAAGCTATGTTTAATTTTGCAAAAGATCAAATTTTAGACCATGGATTAAGAGACATAACATGTCGACTAGTATTTTGTATCATCTGGTTAGTTAATAAGATTTATAAACATTTAAATATCGAGAAACCCAATATGTGAGCTTTAGTTAAAGTTAAAAATGCTCTTTAAATCATGCACAAAAAATTCTTACTAAAGAAATGAGAATCACAACAAGTTCAATTGCGACAAATCTTCGAATGTGGTTATTTAATATACAGGGTGTGTCTTATATAAGTGCAAATATTTTAGGGGTGGTATATTATGATCCCAGAAACAAGTCTATGAGAGTTTTTTGCAAAAAAAATATTGGATTTTTTTTTAATTTTTAGTAAAAAAACATAATATGTACATAATATGGCAACATAGGTAGTATATTTAGTTTACAAGAAAAAAATGCGGAAAAAATACAAAAAACTTTTGAAAAATTAAGCAACAAATATATTTTTTTAAATTTTCAAAATAAAATACCTCTGTTATTTTGAATTTATTTGAAACTTAATTATTTAAAATGGTAAATAGAAGTTAAAAAAAGAAAAACTTATTTAAGACTCATCCTGTATTATTTCAAGTATTCTATTGTCATATTAAGTTCTTCTCGATAGTATTATTCACCCCATTTAACACGTATGTATGTATTTAACGAGTATTTATAGATAATTGATTAGATTTTTTAAAAATTTGAGTCATGGGATCGTTGGCTTATTATGAAAACTTGAATAAATAGGTAAAACATTGTATACTACAATTTCATAGATAATTAAATATTGCATCTGATATTTGCAAAAAATACGAGGTGTTCCTTTTAAGTTAAACAAGTTATTGCAGTTCAAGGCTAGTAATTATTTGAAATAAATTTTTAAGATACTGTATAAAGTAGTATTATTTCTATTATTGCAACACAGAATTTAGTAAATAAAAAACTGCAGTACAGTATTTGGTTTTAAAAACTTAAATACGCCTAGAGAAATAAGACATTAAAATAAGACACAAAATTGTAAATATTTCAAAAACTGTAAGATTTAAATGAGATAAACCTTAAAAAAATTTACCTTTATTCTAATCGTAGAAACTAAAAACGTAATGATATACAAGGGTTTCTATTTAAAAAATATTTTGGTATTTTTTATTTATTTGGAACCCTCTGTACCTTTTAAAAATAAATTTAAATTGTAGCTATAGGAGGACTACTATAGCTACAATTTAAATTTATTTTTAAAATGTACAGAGTGTTAGTTCACAACAATCCCATAACTCACAATTTCTAAAAATCTGATCATTTGACTACAATACACCGTGTCCAATGGGGTGAACAACCCTGTATATTTATTTCTAAAAATGCCTTGATAAGACTTGATAACATTTTAGTAAAATTCTTCTTGGACCACAGAAATTTTGGACTTATTTTTTTAAATATTGTAGTATTAGTAATATTATAATATTTTCAAAAAATATAATTTAATTATCTATTGTATTTTATAATTAAATATATTAAAGCTATAGAAAAAAAATCAAAATACTTACAATATTCATTTGTTGATCCTGTATGTCCTTGTACACCTCTACCACCTTCATCAGCGAGACACCTGCAAAAATAACGCCATTTGTTAGAACAGCCAACAAAAGAGAAACGAAAATAACTAAGCTATATTTATCCAGTTCAACTGCTAGAATAAAGAGCGGTACTCGAGGAAAAACGGGTACTATATCAAAGTAAATAATGTGAGTACTTAAAAGGCGCTAAAGAACAATTTATGTCGCTGGAATCCGGCAGCAAGGCCTGTATAAAACGACACTTTCAGATGTCAACGCAAAAAATAGGACTTGAAATATATACGTCGTCTATTTTAAAGAGTTTATAAATACAGCAAGAAATATACCGTACGAAATTGTGTAATATTAAATTGTCAGAATAAAATGATTAGTAGAAATTCTGTGTGTGTGCGCACTCTCAATATATTTATTTTATAAAATACTATTTTCTTCAAACGTCACAAAAGTATTAGTTTTTGCGACGTGATTGTCAATATAAAAATAGTTATTTATGTAACAAGTTGCGAAATGAATGCGTCGAGTGCTTAAAACACTCTTTTCGCAACAAATTTCATGTAAGATTTTTTGTGAAAGCGTATAATTTGAGATTTTTATGCTATTACTATTATTTATTATTAAACATTGTTTAAAATGTTCTGGTAATCAGTTTCTAAGGCATTGTTTATGCATTGTTTAATGACAAAGTTCTGCCAGGTTCAAACGTCGCCGCGCCGTATTTCCTACAAAGTTTTGTGAAAAAATGAATGATAATGACGAGTCTTTGGATATTCATCAAGCTGCTGAAACTGCGCTATCCACGTTCGTGCCCGAGAAGTCGAAAAACTTATACGAGACCACTTACAACAACTTTGAAACCTGGGTCAAAGAAAATCATGTTGAGAATTTCACAGAAAAGGTATTGCTAGCCTATTTCCTGAAGTTATTCACTACCTTAAAGCCGTCAACTCTGTGGAGTAAATATTCAATGCTCCGCACCATGATTTACCTGATCAGAAACGTAGATATTAGCAAATTCACAAACCTTATTGCATTTTTAAAAAGAAAAGCTCAAAGAAATCAAAAGCATTTACAAAACTGAAAATAGAACGCTTTATGAAAGAAGCCGATGACAAAGAATTCATATTAACTAAAGTTGTCTTAATCGTTGGAGTATTTAAAGCATGTAGAAGGGAGGAAATCACGTTTTTGACCGTAGATGCCATTAAAGATTCTCAGTCATTTATTAGTGTGAAGATTTCGAATAAAAAAACTCATTTTCCAAGAGTGTTTACGGTTACTGAGGGACCAATAGATGATATCAATTTCTTACATGTAATTCGTAAGTACGTAAAAATTCGACCACTACATGTTACACATCAATGCTGTGAAAAAATTAATGTTGTACCCTGCCAGTTGGAATCAATTCAATTGGGGGTATGCCAAAAAGATAGCGGAATTTCTTGGACTCGCCAACGTCATGGAATACACTTGTCATTGTTTCCGGTGCAGCTCTACAACAATGGTGGCAGAGTCAGGAGCGGACATAACAGTTTTAAAGCGACATGGAAGTTAACAACCGATCAAGCTCGGTTGTTGAAGGTTACATTGAAAATTCAATTGAGCAGAAAACCGAAATAGCAAAAAGAATCATGGAACAGAAAGATAAACCAAATAAAAAATTAATAGCAGTTCACGTAGACGCAGAAGCTACCAGCATTGCTAGTACAAGAAACTTACTTATTCCTATATTACCTTTTAGGCATTAGTGCCTAAACAAATGTCACTTTTAGATACTAGTGCCTAAAAGAATGTCATTTCGAATCTCAAATAAATATCAAAAACTGTCAATTTCGAAACGCTTTCACAAAAAGTCATTTAAACGCCTAGGCATAAAAGTAAAGCACTTTTATGCCTAAGTATAAAAATACGAAAATATACCTATTATTAAACTGACATAAAATGTCAAATTCAACGAGCCCCCCCCCCCATATTTGAAATTTATGATTTCAGCAATAACTATTTAGTCAACATGTATAATTTATGTCAGTGACGGAATACAGTCGGGACCACCCTGTATTTTTGACCACCCTGACCACTTTTTTTAGATCAACAATACTAGTAAAAATATATTTTTTATTTTTGAACTAAATATCCTTTATACTTAATTATTTGATTAGATTACCAAAAGCGTTTTATTTTCGAGAATTCACCGAGCACATACCTCTAGTTAGTTCTTTGTACCGTGCGCTACGAAATAAAAAGAAAAACACAAAAGTTTTAAACCCTATATATTATTCCGCTGCCGTTTTCTGTGTTACAGAAACTGGAACACGTGCATTCCAGAGCGCCGTTCTCACGGGAGTTTATGGCTTCTCCAGAGAAATATTTATCCCGAAATTTAAACCGGGAACGCTTGCAGCTTACACGGGAATAAATTCTCCGACTTTTCAGAACGGTTTTAATCGAACATAAACATAATCTAGTAAATATTGACGAATGGGGGATTAATATTAATTTTCTTTATTTTAGTATATTTATGATTTTTTTTTAAATAATCCCTTGGTAAATTTAAAAAGAGAAATAGGCTAAACTATTTTTTACATAACTCGGTTGTATACGAAAACCACTTACTACTAAAATAAAGTATGAGTTTTTTGCCACCCGAATAGAAATCTGCAAAAAAATTATCCCTTTTAAATACCACTGCATATACCCAAACGAAAACCAACTTGTTAGTGGTTTTTTACTAGTAAAACAAATTTGCCTAACGGACAAAAAATACTTAACGCTTCAGGAGGTATATGTCCTTCCTTCGTCAGAAGCTATTTAAAAAAAAATAAACACGACTATTCAGAGACATCTGTACTTGTTAGCAAATATGTATATTACAAATCGTTGACATTTTGTTAAAATAATATCACGTAGCTTTTTTAACCAGCCATAAATGTACCGACATTATTTATAGATAGTATTTGATCAGTAAGTGTATTTCATAATTGAAATGTAAATACTAGAAGAATATTTTAAGTTAATCAATATGTAATAATATTATTTTACAGTCTTCTCTTCTTCATGTGCCTTCTCCTCGTCGGAGGTTGGCGTCCATCGGTTGGAATTCCTCCCTATCTTGAGCCAAACGGATAATTGCACTGGCATGGCCTCTTCTATATTAAACCACTGATGCAAATTCCGCAACCAGGGGAACCGTTTACGCCCGATGCCTCTTCGTTCTTCAATCTTTCCCTCAACGACCAGCTGTAGGAAACTATATTATTTGTTATTTCTAAAAATATGATCAAAATATGCTGCTTTCTGTCATTTTATTGTCGTCAATAGTTCTTGGTCCTTACACATTCTTTCTAATACTTCGATATTTGTTATTCGTCCGGTCCAGGATATTTTCAACATTCGTCGGTATAACCACATCTCAAATGAATCCAAGCGTGATATGGTCCGTGCCTTCAACGTCCATCCCTCGACTCCGTACAATAATGTAGACAGTACATAGCATTTGGTAGCTCGCCATCGAGTAGTCAGATTCAGGTCTCGGTTGCAGAGTAAAGTTTTCATTATGAAAAAATGTTTCTGGTTTGGAAAAATTTCTTTCTGAAAAAATTCTATGTTTGATTTCTTCATCAGGATCCCATTTATCATTTAGCCAGCAACCCAAGTACTTAAATCTTCTTAACCTTTCTATAGTTTGATCTTTTACTTGTATCCTGGTATTTTCAATATCTAGTTTGCTGATAATCATAAATTTTGTTCTGTTTATGTTTATTTTAAGACCATGACTTTGACTAATACTGCTAACTCTGGCCACCACGCACTGCAAATCGTTCTCATTGCTAGCTAGGAGCACCGTATCGTCAGCATATCGGATGTTATTAATAAGTTTACCATTGACCTTTATTCCCACTTCTAAATCTTCAAACGCCTCCTGGAATATCGATTCGGAGTATAAATTAAACAAAAGTGGCGATAATATACATCCTTGTCTGATGTTACAGTCTACATACTATTTTATTGTCTATTTTTTATTTAATGTAATGTAGTATTATAGAATTTGACTAAAATAGTTCCCTACTACAGAAGGTTACATTTTATGTAAGTCCTGAAACCTTTTTTTTTTGTTTGCAAACTAATAAGTTTGTCAATTAATTTAAATAAATAGTGACTACTAGATAAACTCTTCACAGTAAAATCGATTTAGGATCATTAATATTAGCACCTATTGATTGTTCAATCATCACCAAGAAATATTTTATTCAGATATCTGATAATTGTTATACCTGGTTATATACAATTACAAAACAACTGCTCCATCGATATTTCTCAAATTAGTCGAAAAAAACGCATATTATGATTATTTTTATATATTTATAAGTTTGTAATCTATGACACTGTATCTATACTGTACTACATATGCCAACCAAAACATGGGACACATTTTTGTTAAATGTGATATTACCTCAATAGATTTTACACACTTGCTTTGAAGCAATGATAAGGCGGAGATTTCTAAACATTCACCTATTTAAAGATCGCCTAATGTCGCCTAACTTATCGGTGATCAATCGACAACTGATGTTTTGATTTAGCTGGGCCGTTTAATGGGTTACACAAAATGTACTTCTTTCATAACTCGGCTGTATATGATACCCAGTTACTATTTGGTCCATAAATTTATCTCAAGTTGTAACTGTGAAAGTTTTACGTTCATTAATTATCTATATAATATAAGGAGAGGAAATCTAATAACTTGACTTAGAGAAAAATAGAAAAAGATGTATATAAATTAAACACACACAATTTTCCTTTTTTCCTAGAAAATTAATGGTTCTGAAATTCATAAATTTAGAATATTAATAATTTTGGGATCCATACATATTCTTCATCAGTATTAAATTTTATTTATTATTGTTATTATAAATGTACTTTAACAGAAAAATATGTAAACTTAATAACTTTTATATAAAAATGATTCAAATTTAGAATATTATACTTGTATAAAAACATCCAAAGGTTTCATTTAAGGTTTCATTTAATATTAATA